CCCCTAGAGTCCCCTATGATAAACTTAAGGCAGCCATATTAAAGCGCACTACAGCCTCAGATGAGACACGCCTTCAGCAGTTGCTCTCTGGCGTTGAGCTTGGAGATAGAACGCCGTCTCAGTTACTCCGACACATGCGTTCCCTCGTCGGTTCTTCCATATTGGATGATTCCGTTCTCCGCCAATTGTGGAGTAATTGTCTTCCTGCGAATACCACGGCTATTTTAGCTGTTCTCGCCGACGATCTTCCGCTAGACAAACTGGCAGAAGCTGCTGATAAAGTTCACGAACGCTTCATTAAAACGTCGGTATCACACGTCACTGAGACTAGCTCAGGCAACCTCTCTGGAACCACGCTACTTGATACAATCAACGAGAGACTTTCTAACCTAGAGCTCACCTTGTCCCACCTCAAACGCGACCGCGTTCCTTCGCGACGATCCGTTTCTCGATCCAGACGTTCTAGCAGCTCTCGTACACGACAGTCTCACCGTTATTGTTATTATCACCACCGCTTCGGAGACGCAGCGCGTAAGTGCCGTCCAGGGTGTAGACAATCCAAAGCCTTTTCAACTCCTACGTCGGGAAACCACATGGCCAGCCAGTAATGGCGGCGGCTGTCGCTGGCCAGGTTATTAGTCGCCTGTTGTACGTATTTGACTCCACAACCAAACTTCACTTCTTGGTTGATACTGGTGCAGAAGTCAGCGTTCTCCCCCGTTCTCTGGAAAACGCCCCCTGCAACCAGCTGGTCCAATGCTTACGGCAGCTAATCAGACTAAAATCGCTACCTACGGCCAGAAATTACTTACTTTGAGTCTCGGACTACGGCGTAACTTCCCTTTCATTTTTACCATCGCCGATGTGCAAAAGCCCATCATCGGAATCGACTTTCTCAGCAAGTTCGGTCTTGTGGTCGACCTACGTTGTGGGAAATTACGAGACGATACTACGTCTTTAAGCATCCCCTGCAAACTTGCTTCAGTCAATTCTCTCGGGCTTCGCATCCTCATACCTGACGACTGACAGTACTGCTCGTTGCTCCGACAATTTCCGTCCCTAATTCGAGCGAGTAACGATACTTCCGACCCTAAACACGATGTACGCCATCACATCGTTACAACTGGTCCGCCAGTAACTGTTAAAGCTCGACGCTTGCGCCCTGACAAACTTCAGGCAGCTAAAAAGGAATTCCAACACATGCTTGATCTCGGCATTGTTCGTCCTTCAAACAGCTGCTGGGCATCACCTCTCCATCTGGTGTCTAAAAGTCAGGCGATTGACGACCATGCGGTGACTACCGTGCTCTCAACAACGTCACTGTTCCGGATAGGTATCCCATACCTAACATCGACGATTTCTCTCTTGGACTAGCCGGAAAGTCGATTTTTACCAAACTCGACTTAGTCAGAGCTTACCATCAAATCCCAATGGCGGAGGAAGACATCGCAAAAACCGCTGTGATCACTCCATTTGGCCTTTACGAATTTCTTCGTATGCCTTTCGGCCTCCGGAACGCAGCACAGTCTTTCCAACACTTTATGGATCAGGTCCTCCGTGGCCTTGATTTCGTCTACGTTTACATTGACGATGTTTTGATCGCAAAAACGCCACACCCGAAGAGTATTTATCACACCTACGAATGGTTTTCGAACGCTTTGAAAACCATGGGATAAACATCAACCCGGACAAATGCAAATTTAGCCAGCCCACCGTCGAATTTCTCGGTCACAAGATCGATGGTGAAGGTATCAGACCGCTCCCGGATAAATCCCAAGCGATCCTCGACTATCCGATGCCACAATCTGTCTGAAGCCTACGCCGATTTCTTGGTATGATCAACTACTACGGCAGATTCATTCCTAACTGTGCTGAGTTACTTCATCCGCTTACCGACTTACTGAAAGGAAACTCAAAGACGTTAACGATAACCCCAGAAGTTGAAGCCGCTTCCACGACCGTCAAGCAGAATTTTAGTGAGCTCACCTCTCTTCATCACTTGAACACCACTGAGGACGCTACACTTGTCCTTAAGACGGATGCTTCAAGTTCCGCTGTCGGTGCAGTTTTGCAACAATTAGTTGATAAGGAATTTCAACTGCTGTCGTTTTTCTCACGGAAGCTTCAAGCTGCTCAGGTCAGGTACAGCACCTTTGGTCGTGAAGTGCTCGCCATGTACTTGGCTGTGAAACATTTCCGTCACCTTTTAGAAGGACGTCGTTTCATACTCTTGACAGATCACAAGCCACTGATGTACGCTTTCCGTTCTGCCTCGGACCGTTACTCACCCCGAGAAACGCGTCATCTGGACTATCTTTCGTAGTTTTGTGTTGATCCTCGTTATATCGACGGTCCTAACAACGCTGTTGCCGATGCATTATCCCGCGCTCATATGAATCAATTGTCATCGACACCCATCGACCTTGAGAAAATAGCGGCCGCTCAACACAATGATCCTGATCTTGTCCAACTTCAGTCAAATCACTCCTTGAAGCACACCCAATTGCCCGTACTTAACTCGGACATAAGAGTTTACTGTTACCTTTCAACCGGTAAGCCTAGACCCTTTGTCGCACGATCATTTCGTCGAGCAATTTTTGATCATTTTCATGGTCTTTCACACCCGAGTATCCGCTTCACCGTAAAGCTCATTACCGACCGCTTCCTCTGGCCCGATATGCGTTCAGACATTAGACATTGGGCTAAACATGGCCTTAATTGCCAAGCCAGTAAAGTTCATCGTCACACAGTCACTACTTCAGGTATATTTTCACTCCTCGACGCACGTTTTGGACATGTGCACGTAGATATTGTTGGCACTTTACCTCCTTCCAACGGTTTCACACATCTTCTAACATGTGTTGACCGTTTTACCCGTTGGCCACAGGCTGTTCCTTTACGTGACACATCTACCGAATATGTTTCCCGCGCTTTTGTCGAATCTTGGATCTCCATGTTTGGTGTTCCATCCACCATCACTACCGACAGAGGGACTCAGTTCAGTTCCACACTGTTCCGTGATATGAGTCGTTTATTAGGCTATACACACCTAAGAACAACCGCGTACCACCCCGCTGCCAATGGCCTCGTCGAGCGCTTTCACCGACAATTAAAAGCTGCCATCACGGCTAGTTCACCCGACTCACGCTGGTCTGAGCGTCTACCTGTCATCCTCCTTGGTATACGCAACACAATTAGGTGCTGCCCTGCAGAACTCGTGTTCGGCATGACCTTCAGACTACCTGGTGAGATGGTACTGGACTCTCGCACCACTGGCGAACTAGACCCCTTCTCGTACGCTGAACGCGTCAAACAGCATTTTCGATCCATTCGACCAACGTCTACGCGGCCTAACATGCGTAAACAGCAAATGCGCCCCGATTTACACAAGCGTCCGTTTGTTTTCATCCGCGTCGACACCGTCCGATGACCTTTAACACCGCACTATGAAGGCCCGTACCAGGTCTTATCAAGAAAACCCAAATATTTCATGTTGAATAAGAATGGATCAAAAGAATCCGCGAGCATCGACCGACTCAACCCAGCTTACGTTGAACCTACAATCGATAGTACAGATCCCGTTTCCTCCCCTCAGCATACACCGGCCTCTGACACATTACCCCTACCCAACAACACACTGACGCCAGTACAACGAGTCCTCTGTGCCCTCCAACTATACGCAGCTCCACACACACACACGTTCTGGTCGCGTTGTTTTCCTTCCACCTAAGCTTGCTCAGTACGTTCCGTAGGCACTTTGTCAAGCGTTTCCTTAGTGCACGCTCTAGGGGGGAGTACTGTAGCGATTGTAACTAATTTGCTTATTTTTCATTTTCACGTTTACCTATTTCGCTGCAGTTGTTGTACAGCTTTGTTTTAATTAACTAGATATACATACACTTGGTTTCGAGCTCGTCTTCCGTGGTTCTACCTTGGTTGCCGCTGGATTGTTGTGATTGTGCGCGTCGCTGCCTGCTCTATTCACGATCGGACTCTACGTACACGTACACTTCGTCATACCTCGCGATTTACGATCGTCCGACGCTTAGACGCATCAGGATATTTTATATGTGAGGTAAACCTGACTGACTGAGTATTCTCCTTTGCCGTTTCCTCCATAGTAGAGCAAATCAATGAGATCTCCGGAAGTAGCCAAAGAATGATCGCCAAATTTGCACCGCTTGGTAAATACGCCAAACGGAGAATGTTGGTGCACAATTTTACACAGATAAAACGCTGATAACACAGTAAGCTGAGGCAAAAGTAGTATCCAGCACACGCTGATTCAAAAATTCGCGACGTCCGTGGGTACAGCTGAGCTGAGTGATGCTGGACCACCATCGGTCGTCGAATGCCTTGCGGAAGTGCAATGTTTAGCGGGCACTGCGTGCTATAGATTCGTACATTGATTACATTGAGAAACCGATTACCATGAACGTGTGTCGGACCTGCTTTTTGCTGAGTACTGGTTGATGGTAAACACCTGGAAAATTGCTTTATAGTTCTTTAACCGCTGCTTCAGGAGGAAGACCAACAGCTGTCATCCTCTCGCGCATTTTAGTATCCAAGCAGAAAATGCCATAAAAACCACGCATTCTTTAGGTGCCAAACGGAGAAAAGTGTCCATAGACTGTCTTCAGGCGGATAAGTTCGTTTCGATGCGGAAAATAGGATAAGGTGAGTTTCAACGATCGACGGAGTAGCCGGGTACTCTAACTGCCTGCGACGCCATAACTGTGGTGCGCAATGGTCCGAGTGGAAGCCGTCGCATGTCAAGTAGGCTGAAAAAGTACGAACGGTTCATCACAGCACAGTCGCCGATGCGCACGGAATAATATATTCGTATATAATGTGCCGATTACAAACAGGCAACCAGGTAACCAAATATATTGCTACACCACGAAATGTAAGTCTGGTGCACCCTTCATCCAGCTCCGACTCTTACTAGGTGGTTGCGCTGAAAAGTATCCAACCGTCTATGAATTATCTCTTGCATTTCAGCCCCTGTGCACTCTGGACTCGGAAGCTCTCGGAACCCTCGGCTGGACGCACAATACACAAAGGGTCGCCTCAATCCTGTTCTAGTACTTTTGGCTAAAATGGGTCGTAGATCCGTGAATACCACGAAGAGTGGGAAGTTCATGAATCCCACTGATCAGGCCAGAAAGGAAGCACGTAAAAGAGAGCTCAAGAAAAATAAAAAACAGCGTATGGCTGTTAGGCATGCCGTTCTAAAGGCAAAGGATCCATTGCAGCTTTTGGAGGAGACTGCTCTCTACGATAAACAAGGTAAACGCTTATTTGTTTTCAACATCCGTCTATAGAATATGATCCCAGCGTTCAGGCCCAATTAAACGAACGGGTTATCCAGGAAAAAAGACGAAAGCTGCTCGAAACGTTTGACCGTCTGGTGCTATTATATGTAATATTGTTTTTTCTCCTCTTTATACCCGCGTTTTAGCGCAAGGAAGACGCCGAGTATGCAAACCGCCTGCAGGCGGCTCGCCACGATTATGATAAAAAACGTCATGAGATGATGCTATTTTATGGTTTGTTTCCAATGCTACTCGACACAATATGGTTGATTAGAACAGGTCAAGCTTGCTGAACGAGTGAAAACCAGCGACATTCCGCTACCCAAATTGCCTCAGTCTCAAATGGGACTTATCGCTTCTGATATACCATTGCCAGCTGGAAGCTACGCAAAGAGCATTTTAAAGAAACCTTTGGGGTAAGCGGCCTTGTCACCTTTTTCTCCTTCAGCTGTTTGTACTTGAACCTTTTCAGGGTTGTCCCCTGTCCTAACTAGCATCGCGCAGATAAGTGTTTCCGATCATATACTTGCTTCTTTCATCATTCCGTCCAGTATTTTCTACGCACATACTTAACGCTTTTCACCTCTGTGCCTTATTTGGGACTTATGCCTTCAGATCCCTTAATTTCACAAGCGTTCTTGTCGTTAATCCGGTTCCTTGAGGTGTGCATCAACTACTAGTGAAGTTAGCTGCTCATTCCCGTTACTATCACCCCAATGCCTGACATGCAGGTTACATGGTCTTACCAGGCATTCCTTCATCCTCAATAAATGTTACCCTGAGGAACAGTACTTCATTTTTCTTATTCAGCTCACCTTCCCAAAGGCAGCATTAATTAGCTTGGCTTTCCTCGTTTCGCACCAGTACTGACTCCTGTCTTTGCATTCCTCAGAACCAACACACTTACTGATCTTGTGCTCCTTTGTTATCACAACTCCATTCTCATATTGGGCACTTATGATTCGCACACTGCAGTTTGTCAGACCCAATGGACTTTATACTCTTTACCCAAACTAGTGATGCTGGCGTAATCAAACGATTAGAATAAAATGGTTAAATGAAGAGAGATGGATCAAAGATCAACTTTATCACACAGATGGGCTAATAGAAACAAGTTAACCAACTTATCAGCGCCACTACTTTTGCAGTTACTTACATATCTAGTGTAGTACAACCATCAATCTATTTAATTTCGCTTGCTGGACAAATCATCGCTTGCCGCATGGTGCGCTATCGTTCATGCATGTGACGGCTGGGCTTGTTGAGCACTGAAATGTTCAATTCAATTCAGTTCAGTTAAACAACTTCGACCTGAGCACTGGCGTGCGGTGGATCTAATTGCCACAACTCACATCGCATGAATAACAATGCATAACAATGGCACGAATACTGTACACTATATGATGTGAGAAAGTAGAAATATGTATCTGTACAACTTTATTGGAACAACCAAAAACGTTTAAAAAATTATTTACGATCTGTCAACACACTCCTTATCATCATCAACAGCAGTACATTAGCCATTTGAACTGATGCTTTGCTACCATACAGCCATGATGACCTACGGAACAAAGAATAATAAGAGGGAGAGAAAGAGGACTTACCGGCCGTCTACTCCTTGTCAACAGCATGCCATCACAAACAACTGGCTATCGTGCAACGATAGATCGGCATCAGCAAAACAGGTTCCTTGCGGCTTGGACTTGAACTGATGCTTCACTGCTGCACAACCACGGTTAACTACGAAACGAAGAACAATAAGAGGGAAAGAAGGCGAACCTATGGTACAATCTTAATGTCTTAAACAAATACTCGAGGTCAAGGTGCCTACACCTTGTCAACAACAAACCGACTCAAACAGCTGGCTATCGTGCAAAGATAAGGCGGCATCAGCGAGACAGCTTCCTTGCGGCTTACACTGACCCGCGTTGTAATCAGCCATTATTCTGCAGATAACTCAGTACCAAACGCACTTGAGATAGGCAATCCGACCAGGAGACGACAACAGACACATTACTGGTGTTGCTGAGGCCTTACCTTAACGTGGTGCGATGGTTTGTGTGGCTCATTGGTCCATTGAGCTAAGCTGGGTGGTACTTTTTGCATCTTCAGAGCCACTCATGCCAGATTAGGCCACGGTTAGAGTCCAGACAAACTCATTCTCCTGGTCCCCCAGGTTGGAGTGTGGGTGTCTTGTTACTCCGTAAAACCGGCTCTCTGTAGTTCGGTGCCAATACTCTGCTGTCTTGTGGTAAGGTTTTTGAACCAAAGGTTTTGGTTGAGAACCCTAATCGTTCTCCTGTCTAGACATGAGCAACCTGATAGTATCCTGCCCATGCAATACAACATGGTCTTTCATTCTAACAATCTCTTGATGCTCTGGCCGCTGCAGAGGATAATCATCGGCGCCCTATCTGCTGCATCGAGCAAGTGGAATGGCGTTCAGATGCTACTGCTCAAACCTTCCTGCCTTCTTATTCCCCCTCTTGCGCTTTTTCTTCCTTAGCGTCCCGTTCCAACTTTACTTTTAGCCTCCCCATTTTCAATCCCTCAATTTTTGGTCCTCCCTCACCTTGCTTGCATAGTCGTTTGTCCTAGTTTCAACTTACACACAGCCGCAAGGCGTCGCTCCAATGCAGTCGACAAGTCCATGTTCAACCAAGCGGACAACGTCAGTTCATCCGTTTTCCTTTGGAGTCCTTGATCCTCGCTAAGACTGGCATGCCTCAATGTGCGCACTTTGCTACAGATTGGCCAACAGACAGCACTTGCCGGAACACTCGAGACCCTATCGATCGTTATTCGCTGTTTATCGGGAGCCTGCCTGCAAGGTTCAAGCTCCGTGGTTACCCTGCGATGCCCCCCATGCGACACTAACTGCACATTCTCATTGCGCCTGTCTGGCGATGAAGCAGCTTGAAGTGCTGGTCAAGTTGGCGTCCGCATTGTTTTGAGTCCCCGGGCTGAAACTGCCCTGATCGACCGGATTCCAATCAACATCCGGATGTGCGCCGTTAGATTGGCTGGCTCGTTCCATGCTTCGAAGTTGCGCGGGGACAAACAGTGCCTGTGTGTCATTGCGGCTGATGCCCCCACAAACGGCAGCCCTGATTAGGTGAAAGATGATTCCTATCACTAATTTAACGGTCTTCGTTATAGAAGAAGCACGGATACTGTGGGGGTTGCTGGTGATCAAAATAGGCAAGTCGGAAAATTGTTCTTTGATGAGCTTTATCTGGTCGACTAACATGGTGTAGGCTCCTGTTATGATAACGGTGAACGGTTGGTACACCTGTGTGAAACGGCTCGTCACTTTCTCGCGTGCACTGTCTTTCGACATAGCGCCCGCTGAAGAATGATTTGGCGTTCACCATTTTCGGGCCAGCCATGGACGCAAATCGATTATATCGCAGTTAGTTACCGCTGGAGTGGCTGTATCCAAAACTGTCGCTGGATTTGGAGCACCAGCGCGGACTCCCATCACGCTCTTGTGTGTGCTGATCTGCGGTTGCGTTTCGGCGGACGTCCACAACATCGCTCTGAGCGCATTGACACCAGCCGGCTGGCGAAGCCAGGTGTTCTGAACGCGTATCAAACTACACTGGCATCTGGGCTGAGTACGCGTTCACTGAACACCGTCGAAGATCGCTGATCGCATGTTCCTCAAACGTTACTATCAGCAGGCATATCTTCATGTGGCAAATCAAATTGCTAACCTAGACATTGGGTCTCCACAAAGCCTCTGTAACTTATGGATGCTCCCTGACGTATTCCGGCTGGAAGAAAATGCAGGAAGACTCCCCCGTGGAGGAGCTCTACGCTATTGGGCGGGTTCCCAGGTTGCGGATCGGGGAATGCCTTCATTGTGGAGGTAACTACGAATAAGTCTTGCTTGCCTTGCAGGCGAGATGAATAAGCAGTCGCGGACAGTCAGCAGCAGCATCTCAGATCGTGGGGAGTTCTGGGCTGGTCACCTGGTTCTCCAACAAATACCACAAGAGCTTGTACGACGCTGTGTCAAAGCCGGTGTGACTGGCTATATGGTCACTGACCACTCACTTCTGTAACCAGATATGAAGCCCTCACGGAGGACAGTTGAACAACCTTGTTGGCCACCGGCTTCTCACTGGATTGCTACTGAACACAAAGAAGAAGAATGAGCTTCCCGGATGTCAACGGTCTCCGTTAATCGTCCTGCTGCCTTGCGGGTCAGGTCTTTATGATCCAAGGCTCGGGGTGGGTCCTTTAACTCAACCCCCTTCCTCGGCCTTGGCAACCGAGTAGATCTCTGCTCACACAACAAATTGACCTTCCAAACCATTCCACTGTCTACCTATTTTCCCCTTTGTTGTTGTTGTTAACCATGTTTTGTGGCACTACCAATTGTATATTGGTCAGGTGTTGATTAAATATATAACAACGAGACTCGCAAAAATTTCAGGGTAAAACTGCGTGCTAACCTGAAGAAAGACCGCGAAGCCTGATGGTCTCGTGGGCATCAGAAATGGAAACGGCCGCTGCCGTTGGTAATCATCGTAACTTATTCCGTCGGATGCGGGAAATAGGCAGCAGGAGACCTGGTGTTAGCGGGACAATGCGCGACGAGAGTGGACAGCCGATCCACAGCTTGTCAAAAAGCTTGGAACGTTGGGCGGAACACTTTGCAAGGCAGTTTAACCGAGCTGAGTTATCGTTTTCTCTTTCGGGCATTGAGTGCATTTCTCCATAGGCCGTCTCTTTAGATCCACCCTCACGCAGAAGTCGAACGTGAGATCAAACTGTTGAAGTCGCATAAGGCCGCAAGGACAGATAGAATTCCCCCAGCTCTCTACAAATTCGAGTTTCTAATGGAACTTTGGGAGCAGGAGACTGTCCCGACAGACTGGAGCCGCTCCGTCGTAGTCCCAATTTTCAAGGTAGGCTCCCGTTCTGAATGCGGCAACCATAGAGGGATCAGTTTGATCTCACTTGTTTCTAAGTTGCTTGCCTCTGTCGTTCTACACAGACTGACTGGCGCTCGTGAAGTCCAGATCCGCGAAGAACAAGCCGGGTTTCGTCTAAATCGAGGCTGCATCAACCACATCTTCACCTTGCGTCAATTGTTAGAGCACCGCCATGTTTCTTGGCAACCGACCGTTGTCGTGTTTCTCGACATCAAAGATGCTTCAATTCGGTAGATTGATGTGCCATTTGGGACTGTCTGCTGAGGAAAGATGTGCCCGATAGATATGTAAACATTATCAAAGCGCTGTACGCGCAGAGTTCGGGCAGAGTGAGGGTTTATGGCAAACTGTCGCCACCCTTCAGTATCGCCAGCGGTGTGAGAAGGTTGCCCGCTGTCATCTTGTCACTTCAACTTCGCTGTTGATGGACTTATGGAAACAGCATTAGCTGAACCCGACCTAGATGGTGTGGA